CACTGTTTAATGTTTTTTACTTGGTAATAATATTACTTTATGACAAAAAATTTGGTGAAATTGAAAAAAGCTTCTTTGTCAATGTTAGCCGACTAATTTTTAGAGTCGATACAATCGATTGTATGTCAACCAAAATTAGTAGTTTAATACTTTGAAGTATTGGAAATACAAAACCATGGTTTATTTGTTAATTTTACATGCTAGATAATGTTGTTGACGACAAGCAGCCTTTATTAAAAATACCTAGCAATCATTGAAAGCTTCATTAAAACAAATTTCCAAAAACGAAAATGAGAAGGTTACACTTTTCATTTCGTCAATTTGAGGTTACAGTCACAAACAAGTATCTGTCAAATTCAACTTTTCGTTCAAAAGTTTTGTGAATTAGAATAGGCTTAGAGAATTTAATTGTAAAACTATTTTCGGACAAACGAATTTTCGAAAAAAAAAAACAGTAGGAATTATCGATGAGAAAAACGGCTTAAATTTATTCAACGTTTAAACGTTGTACTTTTTTTACAAGCATGCTTATAAAAATCGAGTTTCTGAACGCAACTTAAAGTGACATTTGGTTGACGACATAGGTTATCAACAATTCACAGCCAAAGCTCAATAAACGACAAAAAACATCAAACAATATTAATTATCAATATTGAAATCTAAAGAAAAGTTTACTAGAAAAAAAAATCCACGCTGACCAGGCAGCGGACGGGACTCGAACCCGCATCCTTCGCTATCCGCCATCTCTTCGCATTGTAGGTAACCCACAATGTCAAATGCCTTGCCTTGCCTTGCAGCTTAAGGCTAGGAAAATTTCGATGCGGCTAATAGGGCCGTGGTAGCATAATGGTCAGTGCATTCGCCCGGATAGCGAAGGATGCGGGTTCGAGTCCCGTCCGCTACCTGGTCCGCGTGGATTTCTTTCTAGTAAACTTTTCTTTAGATTTAAACATCTAGCAGTTAAATGCTTAAAAAATAAATAAAATCATAACTGTAATTGCTATTTCTTCTTTCAAATGTTTAATACTTGAAAAAGTATTCATTTGACATTGTGGGTATACATACAATGCGAAGAGATGGCGCTGCCTTGCAGCTTAAGGCTAGGAAAATTTCGACGCGGCTAATAGGGCCGTGGTAGCATAATGGTCAGTGCATTCCCCCGGATAGCGAAGGATGCGGGTTCGAGTCCCGTCCGCTGCCTGGTCCGCGTGGATTTTTTTCTAGTAAACTTTTGTTTAGATTTAGACATCTAGCAGTTAAATGCTTAAAAAATAAATAAAATCATAACTTATCAATATTTGTTATTGTTTGTTTACAAATGTTTGGTTTTTTTCTAGAATTAGCAGTGCTAAAAAAGTTCCAAGATTTTTTGGCAAACCGTACTTGTCAAGCGACATTTGACAGTTGGAGGTCATTGGCTTTCCTATTCTTATTTGAATCACATTATTCTGCTTATTGCTTAATTTGCTTTTTACAGTCACTTAGGTACGCTTATATTCGAAATGAATACCAAGAAATGCTTTTTTGGCGTAGCAGCATAGGTTTCCTTCAATACCGAACTCGAAGTAATTTTATAGTAATATAAGTTATTTACGGGATTGTTACCATGTACCTTGTTTTAAGCGAGTTTCCGATATTTCGGCACTGTTGCAAGCGCCATGATCACGGAGTAACTGAAGTAATTGCGGGTAGGCTGTTATTGGCAGACATATCGGTCTACCCTCCGACGAAGTCTTTTATTGCGACCCGTACCACTGTTCACATTCTCACTATTCACTCGAAACTGTTCTCGACACACAACACTTACAGTATCGGATCGCGACACGACACTTTTTTGATTATTTCCGGTTTTACACATACGAACCACAGGATTCCAGACACTCGACAATTTAAACCCGTCCTCACGATTGAAATTTTTATGTTTTGTTATTTCAATCGCTTCCCTGACCAATCTTGGTATGTAGTGGCGTTCTGTCGAGATAATCTGTGGGTTATGAAACTCAATCCAGTGGTTAGAACCAGAATCAATCAAATGTTCCGCGATGGCTGATTTCTGCGTATCGTATCGCAATCAAGAACAACGATCGTTGTTCAAAACAAGGTACATGGTAACAATCCCGTAAATAACTTATATTACTATAATGTTAGTGACCATGAAAGTTTAAAACAATATATCGAAGTAATTTTATGGTGAAACAAAGATGGCGTGATCGTTAAAATAGAGTAGGCATCTAGGTCAGGTTCTACTCTCTTTCTCCGAAACGAACTTTCGGTAACGAAGTTCAAACGAAATTTAATTTCCAAAATAAAGTTCAAACGAATTATTTTCTAGCGAACGAATATTATTGTAATTGAAAACGAATTAGACACATAGCTAGAAACGTGCGAAGTTTCGGCCAATATTTCATTTTTCTTTGAATTAGAGTAGGCATTCAGACTTGACTGAAAAACTTAGAAGTTATGTTTAAAGTAAATTAATAATTAAACTTCGGACGAACAGCGAAGGTACCTACTGTAGCTACACCCGCCCACCGTCCGTCTATTAGCAGGTAAATAAACAGTAGGTATTGGCGAAATTGAAGTGTGAAGAAGCAACTTGCAGGCCGGCAGGGTGAGGATGGCTGGTGTGGCAGTTAGAACTGCTGTATCATATTTGTTTCTTAGGTTTTCACGCACATCACTCATTAAATAAAACTAGTTTTTACGGGTTAATGCACGAAAACTTTATTTATTTATTGACGTTTCGTAGCCTTTACAGGCTACGTCGTCAGAATAAAACTTTTATTTAATTTGTCGAGCTACCTTCGAAAGACTTTTATTGAGCGTTTGGTTATTTCATTGTTCGATTTTTAAGTTTTATTGTCTATGTATGAATTTATTATTTAATTTACTTAATAAAGTATTTTATTTAAAATTCTTGTTTGTAATTTTGAGTTTGTTTATTTGACCCTAACTACCGTAAACTACCACCGGTTCCAAAATTGGGAGACCTTCCTGAGAAGAACCGGCGAAACAAACTCAAGAGAGGCTTTCTATCTCCTTCTTATGTTAAATTATGCAAACAAAAAGAACTAATAGTATCTGATGGTCTTGCAGTGTGTGCTCGGGGTTGGGATTTTATCTCCTGTATAATAGGTTCCCAAGCCGGTGGTATATACCAACCATCTTCCCTATTGAAATTTGGATATTTTTTAATCTCAATAGCCTCGCGCATCATTCGAGGAACGAACCGCCGCTCAACTGCAAGGATCTGTGGTCTATCAAATCTAATGTAGTGGTTTGGTCCCCCTAATGCATGTTCTATGCTGTATCAGCTATCGTCGCGTCTGGACTTCACCTTCACTTAACATCAGGTGGGGTGGTGTCATTTGTCGGACCAATCTATAAAAAAAAAAGAAACCGTGATTTATGAATGCCTTTGTTATTTAGGCGTATTTATTGTTTGTTAAAGGAGGCATACGAGCTGATGGCTCACCGGATGGTTAGTAACCACCGGCTCATATAGACACTTGCGACACCAGAAGCTCAACTCTCTCCGAAATGAAATTTCGGCAACGAACGAATTTTCAACGAATTTTTCACCAGTGACTCTATTTCATTTTCGAACACGCACATAAAGTTCGAAGTCACAAACAATTTTTGTGAACGAATGGAATGAGTTATGTTTGTGAGTTCTTTTTATCTCCACTTTTTAGATTACATTTTGTACTTGGAAACAATATATGTAAATTTTTGATGACATTAAAAGACACCTTCTTTGACAATGTTAGCCAACTAATTTAAAGAGTTGATGCAATCGATTGTACGTCAACCTAAAATTTGTCTTTAATACCTTGAAGTATTGGAAATACAATAATTACTAAAAATACGGTTTATTTGTTAATTTTACTTTAAAAAAAAATGAGCCTTATTGCAGCCTTGATTAGAAATGTTGTAGGGTTAATATAAACAAAAATCCCAAAACGAAAATGAAAAGGTAAAACATTTAATTTCGTCAATTTGGCTTGGAGAATTTATTTTGTCAAACTTTTTTCGGACGAACGAATTTTCGAAATGGAAAAGAAACAGAGTAGAGAGGATCGTGCAAAATTTCGATCGAAATTTCGTTGAATTAGAGCAGAGCAGTGTTTCCTAACCTTTTTAATACTGCTACCCTGTAACCTATTACGAAAACAGATTTTACCCCGACTTTAAAATGTTATCATCAGTCCAAGAAATTCTAATTTTGCCGCTACACCTTTGTCTCTACTAATGTTATCATCAGGAGAAAATCTCACCTCGCTTCCCACACTCAGCACCCCGCGGGTTCATTAGCAAGAAGGAGCGTATGCTCTATTTTGTAGTATTAATTAAATTTGACCAAATAATTAGGTTCTTTGTTACCCCCGAAGTATGGCTGATTTACCCCCAGAGGGGTAATTACCCCCAGGTTCGGAACCCAGGGAGTAGAGCTTCTGGTAAAGTATCACAAATGCGATGCCGGCCTTTAAGGAAAGAAGTTCGCTCCTTTTTGATGGTTTTTGGCTCGTATTGGTTCGAAATTGCTGCTGGCGAAAATATATTTCACACTTTTGTCATACGTAGTTTTATACAAACTAGCTACTTATGTTGGGTTTAACAACCACCTGGTCACATTAGCCGCAGAACTGATGGCGTTAGAGCCGGAAAGTTCTTGAGTGAAGACCGCGACTCGGTAAACGTAGTGTAGGACGCCCTGAGACAAGATGGGATGATGATATTCGTAGGCTGGCTGGAGTGGGCTGGATGAGAGTAGCACAAAATCGGGAGCAGTGGCGTGCATTAGGGGAGACCTTTGTCCAGCAGTGGACGAACATGGGTTGATGATGATGATGGTGATGATGAAACAACAGTTCGTGTATTCTGTTCTGAAGTGCGAACTTTGCGCTTCGTTATATTTTTATGGTTGTAACAGTTTGTTGATTCTGTTCTGAAGTGCGTATTTGACGGTAATATTAAATTATAACCTTTCTTTGTTGCAGGTATCATGGATAAGGAGAAAGGACTATCACCTTTTAACAGTAGGCCTAACTACCTATAGCTCGGACCAAAGGTTTCAAGCTATACATTTGCAGCATTCTGAGGTAAATTGTTTAATAAAAGAACTGAAATAAAAGCGAGTGTGCTTATGACCACACGACTGAAATCACAACTTCTTTAGCTCCAATGATCTGAAAATCATAAACTTAAGTTGAACATTTGTTGATAGAAAAAAACCACCAATCCACGCTGGGTCCGTTATCTCCCTCCAATCCGCACTGGGTCCATTGTCACCCACCAATCCGCGCTGGATCCGTAATCACCCTACAATCCGCACTGGGTCCATTGTCACCCACCAATCTGCGCTGGGTCCGTTATCACCCTCCAATCCGCACTGGATCCATTGTCACCCACCAATCTGCGCTGGGTCCGTTATCACCCTCCAATCCGCACTGGATCCATTGTCACCCACCAATCTCCGCTGGGTCCGTTATCACCCTCCAATCCGCACTGGATCTATTGTCATCCACCAATCTGCGCTGGGTCCGTTATCACCCTCCAATCCGCACTGGATCCACTGTCACCCACCAATCTATGCTGGGTCCGTTATCACCCTTCAATCCGCACTGGGTCCATTGTCACCCACAAATCCGCGCTGGGTCCTCTATCACCCACCAAGCACTAAATTCATGTATTCTGTGACGGGTATTGTTCATTGTTTACCGATGAGTCACCGATGACACTAATCGTACCCCAAAAATCATAACACATTCGCCAGCTTACCCCCCAAGTCAAGCGTGCCTATAGAAGTTTCACTTCAAAAATGATAAACTCGAGACGCAAGACAGAAGTGATAACTTAAACTAATCTAAGCGGCGCTGCGGGTTAGAGTGAGAGAGGAAGAGCCTGCCTACCTCTGAGAGGAAGGGAAGCCCGACAAACTGGCGTCGTAACGCGTTACGTAACGAAGCTGTTTACCCTCCCATACGAAGTTATCACTTCAAAAATCTATTAGTATATTTCATCATCATCATCATCATCAGCCTATTAATGTCCCCACTGCTGGGGCACAGGCCTTCCCTATGGATGGAATAGGGAGATTGGGCCATGACCCACCACGCGGGCCCAGTGCGTATTGGTGGGTGCTAACGACTGCAAATGCAGCCGGGACCAACGGCTTAACGTGCCTTCCGAAGCACAGAGGAGCTCGAGATAGTAAATTTTTGGTCACCCATCCAATGACCGACCACTGCGAAAGTTGCTTAACTTCAACGATTGCAGCCGAACGCGCTAGCCACCTGCGCCATCGAGCTCCTCAGTATATTTATCAGACCATAATTTGAAATCTAATGCGGGATGATGGGATCTATGGAGTAGCCAGAAGGAGCTTGTTCACTCTGGCTTTAAAGAGTCTAATGATCCCAGCTAGTAAGCCATTAGTTTCCAAAAAATATCGACAAAATGCATTCTGATTGCGAGCGAGCATTGCACTGAACGAATTTTGCAAGTCTAGAAAAGACTTTGATATATTCAATTCTGGTGTAGCAACTGCAAGGCGTCTTCTATGCAGTGAATTTTTTGAACGAGTGATGTAATAGTATCTATACACTAACAATTTTGAACTTAAACTAAATAATAACATTAATTTGCTATTAATAAAAGAACATTGTTTAACATTGTTAAGAGGCCGAATGGTCTATAGATATAGACCAATCCTATTATTTTGTACACACGTTTTTAATTTAAATTATTTTTATATGTTAAAATATAAAAGATTTCTGTTTTTTAAACGTGGAGACCTGTAATTGGCCTTCTGTAACTAATTTTTTCTCCAACTATGTCTGATTTTGCCGTTGGTCTCCCAAAAATTAAACAAATAAAACTAAAAAAAAATACGTACTCATAAATACGAATACAGACAGGCAATTCCGCTTCTTCGCTGTCCCATTATAAGGCGTTGAGCAGACGACGGGGCAGGGCGGGCATTTTGTCCGCGAAGCAATAAAGACCGCGTCTGCCCGTCGATGTCTGCGGCTGCCCGCGCCGCGTACACAAAGCACACGACGGGCAGAGGCGGTCAGTTTAGGACGTTCGTTCTAGTGAATAGTCCATCACTAATAAGCGCGTGGCGCGGACTGAGCTGACCGCCCCGCGCCGACGTCTGCGTTACTGCATATAAACTGGTTCGTATGATCCACGGCGGGCAGCCGCGGACATGCCGCGCCGCCACTGCCCGCCGGGCACCTGCGGCGCGGTCTTTTTGCCCTCTGTGTGCGTTTGAAGTATAGGATTCACTTTGTGCTATTATTTGCGGCGAAATTGACCGGCCCGCCCCGCCCCGTCGTCTGCAAAGTGCCTAAAAGTTTTTGAGTTGCGTTTGGTGTGAAAGGGAGTGCAACAGCAACCAAATGATTGATTTATGAGGAAAGGCATAAGATAACCTTATTCACATTTCCATACTTCGTTGCTTTGTTCCATCGAGGAGCTCGAAGTGCTTAGCGCGTTTGGCTGCGATCGTTGAAGTTAAGTAACTTTCGCAGGTCGGTCATTGGATGGGTGACCAAAAATGTACCATCTCGAGCTCCTCCGTGCTTCAGAAGGCACGTTACGCCGTTGGTCCCGGCTGCATCTGCAGTCGTTAGCACCCGCCAATCCGCACTGGGCCCGCGTGGTGGGTCATGGCCCAATCTCCCTATTCCATCCGTAGGGAAGGCCTATGCCCCAGCAGTGGGGACATTAATAGGCTGATGATGATGACATTTCCATACTATTAAAATCCCGATTCTTTACGTAAAAAGCATAGCAAACAAACCCGCTCTGGTGGTAAGCGGCCGCCATTTTTCACACTAATATTATAAAGGCGAAAGTTTGTGAGTTTGTGAGCGTGTGAGTGTGTATGTTTGTAACTTCTTCACGTCTTAACGGCTGTAGCGGTTTTAATAAAATTTGGTATGGAGTTAGCTGACAACCTAGATTGACACATAGGCTACGGTTTTTAGCATGTAACTGCTAGGTGTTTAAATCTAAAGAAATTTTTCCTAGAAAAAAATCCACGTGGACCAGGCAGCAGACGGGACTCGAACCCGCACCCTTCGCTATCCGGGCGAATGCACTTACTATTTATAATTATAATTGCTATTTCTTCTTTCAAATGTTAAATACTTGTAAAGGTATTCATTTGACATTGTGGTTTACCTACAATGCAAAGAGATGGCGCTGCCTTGCAACTTAAAAAAAGGCTAGAGAAAGACGGCCGTCAGGGCCGCGCCAGCATAACGGTCAATGCATTCGCCCGGACAGCAAAGGGAGCGGGTTCGAGTACCGTCTGCTGCCTGTTCCGCGTGTTTTTTTTTAGTAAAATTTTCTTTACATTTAATAATAATTCATTCAGGAATTTCATCACCTGGCGAATGATAACGATGCAGAAATACTTGTTCTTACTTCCCTAGTCCTCGCATCCTAAAAAATATATAATAGGGAATCACTAATTCTGAACATTTAACAGCTTTAATGAATTTTTCAATTTGAGGAGCTCGATGGCGCAAGTGGTTAGCGCGTTCGGCTGCGATCGTTGAAGTTAAGCAACTTTCGCAGTGGTCGGTCATTGGATGGGTGACCAAAAATTTACTATCTCGAGTTCCTCCGTGCTTCGGAAAGCACGTTAAGCCGTTGGGCCCGGCTGCATCTGCAGTCGTTAACACCCACTAATCCGCACTGGGCCAGCGTGGTGGGTCATGGCCCAATCTCCCTATTCCATTCATAGGGAAGGCCTGTGCCCCAGCAATGGGGACATTAATAGGCTGATGATGATGATGATGATGAATGAATTTTTCAAACAAACTGCATTGAAACTACTATAGTTTCCAAATGTAGCCCTTCGTAAATTGATCGAAGTAAAACCGAAGTCTGATCATTTAAATTTTAAAAATAAATACTAAACTAAAAAACATGTTTTTATTATTACTCTACCCGATAATTGATTTCATTACTTGTAATGCTCGGTCTATCGAACTAAGTATTCATTTGAAAGTATTAAACACGCTTTACATCACTCTGCCCAATAGGCACTGGCCATTATTCATAATGCCCGGGCAATGTGATAATATGATTGGTTATAATCAAATTACAGGCTCTTATTGGACATTATTCATATTGACCGGGCACTCTCCATATTGCCTGGGCATTATGAATAATACTTGATTAATCCCTTAGCCCATAACATATATATCATTTCTCCATTTTTGTTTTGTGGCAGGACTGGACGTTGAAAGTGCGGTTCGTCCAGAAAAGGGACGCGGGTATCTACGAATGCCAGGTCTCCTCCCATCCGCCTACCAGCATATTTTTAAGATTGGAAGTCGTTGGTAAGTTTTTGCTAAAACTATACTATATACTAGATCAGTACCCATAGTACGAGTTTACAATTACGAAAACTATGATAGTATTCGTGAGCTCGCACTCGTACTAAGGGTACTGATTTTATTGTTTTCGTCTCAATACAAATAAACAGTGTTTAAATACTATCACTAAATCATTTGCGTCTTCTTAAATTTTAAGAATAATTGGTTACTTTTCACCAAAATGGACATGGAAACATAATTTACAAATACGAAAACTATGATAGTTTCGTGAGCTCAAACTCGTACTAAGGGTACAGGCAGTTGCCTGATTGAAGTTCTGAAGTTTAAGGTGCCTACACGGTCTGTGCGTAAAATCACAATTATTTTATGTACCCTCCACCACAAATAATGTATCGCTGAACAGCCCATTGAACCAGAATGTGTGCATACTTTAACAGTATTTACTCTGATCATGACATGTTTAACTGTAGCTTAATTTCTTTCAAGAATTCTTTGTTAAAAATTTGTGGCAGGGCTTGAAACCGGTTTCAAAAATACCGGTAAATATGGGTTAATACCGGGTTTTAGGAAAGGTTTCGTTTGGAGCGCGTCCGAAATGAAAGCGGTACCTAAAACCTTAATAAACCGGTTTAAGTTTTTATTATTTTTAAAGCATGTAACTGCTTGATGTTTAAATCTAAAGAAATATAACTAGAAAAAAATCCACGCGGACCAGGCAGCAGACGGAACTCGAACCCGCACCCTTCGCAATCCGGGCGAATGCACTGACCAATTCTATGCTATTTCTTCTTTCAAATATTTAATACTTGTAAAAGTATTCATTTGACATTGTGGGTTACCTATAATGCGAAGAGATAGCGCTGCCTTGCAGCTTAAGAATGGCTAGAAGAATTTCGACGCGGTCCGTGAGGGCCGCGGTAGCATAATTTGTCAGTGCATTCGCCCGGATTGCGAAGGGTGCGGGTTCGAGTCCCGTCTGCTGCCTGGTCCGCGTGGATTTTTTTCTAGTTATATTTCTTTAGATTTAAACCGGTTTAATCCAGAGCGACACGTGCACGCGTCGGCATCGCTTAAAGTATTTTGTTTTAACTAATCAAGTCACAACTTCTTAATGCTAAGAGATTGATGCATTTATTAACAGGTTTGCTAGCGTCTAGTGAGTCCAGTTATTCATTTTGTAGCTGTGCATTTATTTCAGCCGTCAGTAAGAGCGAAATGAAACCCTTTAAAAACCGCTAAATTGATTCAAAACCTATTTGATTTCGCTTTTTAGGAAAACCGGTTTTTTAAGGTTAAGGTAGAGTCAAACCTAAATAAAACGCTCCTAATGTACTTGACACTGATTTAGGTTTGAAAATTAACCGGTAAATAAGCCCTGATTTGTGCTGAATTAACTTAAAATTATAAAACTATAGTTATTCCCCTCTCTGCAAAGCCTATATTGATTGAGTTGTTTGTGAATTATAATAATAATTAACTCTGTTACACTGATATAATATTAATTTTTTGTTCGATGTCTATTTATGTATGTAAATGTTGTGCACAATTGTAATTGGGCACAGGCATGCCCATAGTTTTTCATATCTTTTTGTACTTGAATTGTTTTATATGTCTGAAGCCTGTTATTGTGACATTATAAATAAATAAATAATTATGCGAGAAAGCACTAAAAGCTTAGCTTTGAAAATTTGTATAAATATTTTACCATCAAAATAAGATAAGTATTTTAAACAATACAGTACCCTTAGCACGAACCAATATCGAATTCGAATAGTTTGCGGGTCCGCAATGTCATTGTCAAATGTGTACTGATTTTTAGTTCTCGTTACGTCCTTTGTGGCGCTGCTGTTCAAGTTTCCATGCAAAATTTAACAGTGAAATTTCGCACTCGCTAACTATTCGAATTCGATAATGGTTCGTGCTAAGGGTACAGATGAAGAAAGACGCCAAGTTAATTAGTTAGCAAGCGGTTACGAGTAGTTTTATTATCATAAAAAGTGTCATTTTATGGTAAATTGATTTGCTGATGACCCTGATGACTGAAATTACCCTCCCTGTACAAGGTACACATACAAGGTAAAAAAAAACGACGGGTTGCACTCCGGGAGTGCCGGCAGAAGTGAAAACTTTAATCTTAACGTTGTGTATTTTTGATATCTTGGAATGGTTAGGGAATAATTTTGCACGAATTGCTTTAATTATCAGTATAAAAGTACTTTTATTTATGTGGTCCAATACAATATTTATTTATTGCGCTATCGTACACAAACATGACAATTTATATTACATCAAAAAGTTTATCTCACAGAAAAATCAACTTACATGAATCACATTTAAGCACACCTAGAGACATCTATTGTAAAAAAAATGTATTTTCTTCGCAATAAAGCTGCCACCTGGACGTCCTAATTAGAGACTTATTATTATAATACGATAAAATAAAATATTACTATGTTTCGTCCAATATATTGAAAGTCAACAACCTTTCCAATTTTATTGTTTCCGTCTTACGAATTTTCGGTCACGTGTCCGGACGCGATCAGGCCACGTGTCATGACGCTATCAGGCTCCGTGTCCTGACGCGAGTTTAACAGTTTTTACCCATTACAAAAAAAGTGTACAACGCCGCTAAGGACGTTTTTTCACTTCAAAAAACACAAATTCACGTAGTGTAGGTAAGAAGGAACTCATAAAACAAAACCACCACGTTCACATTTTATCAAATCGTCACATAAAAGAAAAAATACTCAAAGTATTTACCAGCGCATTTCTGAAGCAAAACTCCCAATTCCCATTCAACTAATCTATCTCTTGTGCCGAACGAAAATCTAATTTACTCCAGCAACACCACAGGACGGCGTTCCGTCGGAAACCCTCTCGGCTCCTAATCGGCGTGATTGAAAATCGATAATTATGCCCATCTCAAAAATTGGAACGGAAAAAAACCAGCTGACAACGAACAAATTGAATCGAACGAGCGAAACAAAGAAACGTTTCGACAAAGCAAACAAAATCGAGACAGGAATGCGAGCATGCTGATAAAAATTCGGTGGAATTCGATTGTCGAAATCGAATAAGCAACGCAGTTCGTGGTTTCGATGCCTTGTTAGAAGCTGCACTAGAAATTGTTGATATTGTTCTTTTTTAACACATACTGACACATGCCAACCTCACTAGGGCATATCGGGAGTTGGTTAGGCAGAGATATGTTTTCTTTAATATCAAAAGGGTGTCAAACGTAATGGTAAGCCCCCATACCCTATAGACGAACTGGTCATTGTCCTCTAAACAAACACCTATACACAATAGGAGTAACAGACACACCAACACCCTATGCAGAGAATGTATGGAGGCAGAGGAAACGCCACAGCATATCATTATGGAATGCAGGAGTGTGGCCGACCAACGTGCACGGCTCCTCCAGTCACCAGCATCGCTTCCGGAAGCTTGCAGCAGTCTTCCAAGACTGCTTTCCTTCTGGACTAACCTATGCTGGCTGGAGTAAACGAGAATGTTTCAAGACACGCACAATGGTCCAATGATCAGGACTAAGTGCGGAAACCGCCCTGAAAAACTAAACTAAACTAAACCTTATAGACGCTTCATCATCATCATCATTTGAGCCGAAAGACGTCTACTGTTGGACATAGGCCTCCCCCATGGATTTCCACAACGATCGGTCCCATGCTGCCCGCATCCAGCGGCTTCCCGCGACCTTTACCAGATCGTCGGTCCACCTTGTGGGGGGCCTGCCAACACTGCGTTTCCCGGTACGCGGTCGCCACTCGAGAACCTTTCCGCCCCAACGGCCATCGGTCCTGCGAGCAATGTGCCCTGCCCATTGCCACTTAAGGTTTCCAATTCTGTGGGCTATGTCGGTGACTTTAGTTCTCTTGCGTATCTCCTCATTTCTGATTCGATCACGCAGAGAAACTCCGAGCATAGCCCTCTCCATTGCCCTTTGGGTGACTTTGAGCCTTCTTACAAGACCCATTGTAAGCGGCCACGTCTCGGTTCCGTATGTCATCACTGGCAACACGCACGAATTGAAGACTTTCGTCTTGAGGCACTGCGGTAGATGTTCCGAAAAAATGCTACGTAGCTTCCCGAACGCTGCCCAGCCGAGTTGGATTCGTCGATTAACCTCTTTCTGGAAGTTGGACTTACCCAGTTGGACTATTTGTCCCAGGTATACGTACTGGTCAACAACTTCCAGTGTAGAGCTCCCAACAGTCACTGGAGTGGGTACGACATGGGAATTCCACATGATTTTCGTCTTGTCCATGTTCATTTTGAGACCCACTTGTTGGGACACCCTACTGAGGTCGCCGAGCATTGTGCCAAGGTCATCCATGGTCTCAGCCATGACTACGATATCATCTGCAAATCGAAGGTGCGTCATGTACTCGCCGTTTATGTTGATGCCAAGTCTGCTCCAGTCCAAAAGTTTGAAAACGTCTTCCAGCGCAGCTGTAAACAGTTTCGGTGATATAACGTCACCCTGTCTTACACCACGCTGCAGCTGGATTGGCTTCGTGTTTTGGTCCTGGAGTCGAACTGACATAGTGGCGTTTTCATACAACGACTGCAACACTTCGATGTATCGATAGTCTATTTGGCACCTTTGGAGTGACCGAAGCACGCTTTAGATACAATAGACGCTTGCGATACAATAAATGTAATACGCGCCGTTGCCTCCCCTGACGCAATCCTCTACCTCTTGGAGCTTTGGAATCTTACTCACAGAGAGAAACACAAAACCACCGAAAGGCAGTGTTATTTTATTGTGGTCTTCTGTAAGCTGGAGGTTATTTTCCCAGACTTAGATGTAGCTTCGCTCTGCATCTTCTCTCGCATTTATCACGGGGAGTGTTCTGAGGAATTGTTCGGATTAATTCCAGCTGCTGCATTTGGCCATCGTACATCGCGACAAAAATTTCATCCTCATCATATTGATCCGTGGCTATCCACAACCGTGCGTTTTTGTCGAATTTTTTTACCAC